ACTGAGTTTACTTTCCTATGCTTTTAAGGAAAGATCTTCTATTTAGCTATAACACTTGGCTGGCATGAATTCATCAATATTCAGACCTGCAAAAAATGAGCAATTTACTTGTCTTAAGATGAAGTGAAAAAGATTAGTCGATCTGCACGGAATAGAGATTTTCTGCTTTAAAAGGATTTGTTAATTAAGGAAGATTTTAAATGATTAGGGCTTAAAATGGACACGTTCTTTAAGAAGTCATACACAAGTGCAGTAACCTTTACGTGCACTAAATTCATAATGTTATATACTACATGAAACAAAATATCTTGAAATACATTACTAATTAATGAGAAATGACCTCCCTGATTTAAAAAAAATTGCTCCATTCAATTCTTGCACGTTTTTCTTACCCAATACAGAATATGTTTTTGAAACTTTTATAAAAAGCCTTTTCATTTGCCTGGTGTCATCTTAAACAAAAAGTGCTGATAATAATTACACTGAGTCTGTGTTTTAAAATGTCCTAAGTGGCTAAAAGATTAAATGTGTTTCCTTTTCCCCCTTCCCAACACAAGCAGGTGCATCTTCTTAAACTTTAACAGCAGGATATATTGATAAAGTGTATGGTTTAAACACAGTGCACCAGATTCAGAAAGGCTAAATGCCAAGTCAAACAGCATCAGCCAATTAAGTGGACAGGCACAACTCACTATCCTATCAACTGAGAAAACAGCTATCGTAGATTCAGGATAAAACTCAAGGACTCAGTCTTGTGTCAGTAAAGAACACAGCAATAAGTATTTGGTAGCAACGGTTCCCAGTATTGTATTCTACTGCCAGTTCATAAACTAGCAGGAGCAAAGTGACCTATTTCTCAGCAGGAAAAAAAAAGATGATAGACAAGGTGTATACTTTAATATTCAGTTGGAGTATCTATAGCACATATACTTCAGAGTTCCAGCTAAATCAACTGGATTTAATGAATAGGAAATAAAACAGTTTAACCTAATCCCTGGGACAAATATTTAAAGCAGAAACCACCCACCCTTTCAGTAGGAGAGACACGGAAACTATCTGATAAATCAGTCTCTTCACTGCCTCTAAATATTTTATAGACAGAATTGAACAAATAGCAATGTTATTGATTCTAGCAATCATCATACAGCACCTGGCTTGTAGTAAACAATCCTTCTGTTGGGGTGGTGAAATCCTTCAGCACTTCAGTGCAACCCAAGGACCATGAACAAATTAGCTATTGTGAACCAGGCATATCTTAATTTTTTTAAAAAGCAGAGTTTGAAAGGCTTCTAGGTAGGCCTACCATTGCACCTGTCTCCAACACAACAAGGCTAGTACTGATATCACAAATCTACATAGGCAGCATTTTCATCAGTTGGGTCATCTCATTCACTGGATGAAAGGACTACAGGCAATGTGCCATATGCCTTAATTATGTGACTGCCAACTTCATTCTTGAACTTTACAACTCCGTGTGCTCCCAGTGGTTCATTTAAAAATATATATATTTAATAAGAAGAAGAATGGGAAGTGAAACTCGACTGGACAATGTGAGGGATCAGCAAAATAGTCACAGCCCCCTGAAGGTGGAGAGGCTAGTAAAGATTGGGCTATGTACCTATCCGGCTGGATGATTTACAGATTAAGAGATGGCTATTAATTTTCCAACTCACGCATGCCAGGATGGTATAACAAATAAGTTAACTTCTATTTCTAGCTAGAAGATGCCCTGATGCATATCAGGAGTTTAGTTGTGAGTGATTTTGTTTGTTTTGGCTTTTGGTAGAAGAGGGTTGTAAATCATCATTTTGAATAGCTCTTTGCAAACAGACATAAAAACTTCAGGCGATGTAGATGTAGATGTAAAGTTGTTATGTCAGTTCACATTGTTCTTACTTTGATAATTTTGTTTTATTTCACACAGTTATGGGTATTTTGTAAAGTTTCTTTTGAAATGTTATTTTGAATAATAATGACTGAGAAGCTGGGCTTTTTATCAGAGTTAGACATACTAGGTCACATACAGTAACTCCTCACTTAAAGTCGTCCCGGTTAACGTTGTTTCGTTGTTACATTGCTGATCAATTAGGGAACATGCTCG